AAAATAAAACAAATAAGCACATATACTTCTAGGTAGTGAGTACTATGAACAAACTGCATGTTCCATCTGCCCTGTGCCTACAGCTAACCTGCTGTAATGCCTCCAGCTTATGTGCACTTCCTCCTGTGTCTGCCAACGAGAACATCCCTGAACGTTCCCCTTGGGTCAAGCAGTTCCCATAAAAAAAATCTTCCTAGAATCTGAGTTTACGGCTTTGGACAATTAAGTTGTAAAAACAATGACTAATCCCATTAATGCCAGCTGGGAATCCTTGAGCAATGATCGGATCTCCCCTTTCACATGATGAGAGAAATCTTTCCCTTGACTGGGAAGCCCCGGACTCCACACGTGCAACTCACAGGACTCCCTTAACTTCCTCTTCCTTGTGACTGTGGACAAAGCACACAGCACCAATAAATGTAGCCTCTGAAAAAGTATTTTTGAATAGCTAATTCAAGTACCAAATTTAAAATTGAAAAAGCTATGAAAGGGTCTATAAAAGCTATAGAGTCAAAAGTGAAACTCTATTCTACCCCTTCTTCCCAATTACTCTGTTCTGTCGCCCAGAGACAACCAGCATTACCAGTTTCTTGTGTGTTCATCACAAGAGAGAGATATTCCATGCATATATAATCAAACACAGAGATTTTCTTCCACACAAATGGTAGCATACTATATATACTGGTCTTCACCTTCCCTTTTCAATAAGCAACGCATCTTGAAGTTTATTCCATACACAAAAAGCCACGCCACTTTTTTTTAACAGGTGAATATCATTCCAATGTATGGAGATACAGTTTATTTAAACAGTCCCCCCCTTAATGGAAATTAAGGTTGATTCTAATATTTTTTGCCTGGCAAATAATGGTATAATTAATATTCTTGTGATATAGACTTTTAACATAAGATGTACTTTAACCTGAAAATTCCATAACTGTGTTTCCTACTATCTCAATTTTATACATTTATAATTCTATATGCCAATTTACTTTTAAAACAACAGACTCTTATAGAGCACATGACTGTATGACACCAGCATATTTAAAGTCTTGCTGCTCTGTCTCTCTGGTGGCCTCCCACAAGTGCTGGGGAGAAAAAAAGAGTCATGCAGCTGGTAAGGAATCTTGTGGTTACTCATCAAAAGAAAGAAGCCCTGATATTGGTCAACAGCACATATCTTGTTTCTTCTAGTTTCCTTTCCCTAAGCACTCAGCATTAAATAGGAACTAGCCAGTCACTGAAGCTCATGGGCAAGAACGTATTTCATTTCTCCGTGTCTGTCTTACATACAGCATGTGCTTAGTGAATGCTTGAGTAGAGTACTGATGTTAAATGAAGCTTAACATTTCGTAGGTTGTTGGAATTAACCAGATCTTCTCTAAAAGACATAAAAGAAACTGTGGGTGAGACATCACAATAGGCATCTGGCTACGTGTGTGAAGCTCTTCAACTAGAAGAAATCAAGTGCCGGCCAAAGAGCTAGAGATGAAGGTGCCACGAGTGACTACTGACATTGTTCCAACTAAGGTAAGTGTTTTGGCAGAACGGTAGAGGCGTGAGACAAGAGAGTTGGAGAAATGACTCTCTTGTAACCCCAAGTATAGCCATGGGGTCCACTCATTTTCAATGAGAAAGCTCCTAAGGGCACCCCTGGGAAACGTCTAGATAGAACTAGAAGCAGTTGCCAGGGGTATGTGCCATTTTGAACCAGAGGGTGGACTGTTGAAGTTCCTGGAGTTCTTAGATAAGGTGGCTGGGCTTAAGGCAGCCAGGGTGGGATGTGACAGGCATCTGAAACTCCACCTTTTAAGGCTCAAATGTGAATCTAGGTGTGTGGTAGTCAACCTGGAAGCCAGAGTTCAGAAAGCAGAAGTGCTGCCCTCGCAGCAACCATTCTCCCCTCATTTGTTCTTTCTAAAGCATTTGCTTTTAACTAGTGAGGCTCTCCCAAGGTTTTGCCTACTGTGGAGCCACAGCCACTTGGGTTCTTTAATTATGTTTAATTCAAAGTCGCAATTCTAGGTTCAGACTTAATTTTAGAGCTAAAATGAGATTTAGCTATTCAGAATCAGTAATATAAGAAATGCCTGTTTGCCTAATGCCTGTTTTGAAGCTTTACTATCAAACACTCGGAATCTGATGCTCAATCTCGGCATTTGCAAAAAGTCCGATTAAATGATCTCTAAGTTTTCTTTCATCATCTTAACATTCTCTGCACCCATAAAAATTCTTCCCTATATTCTCGCTCTCCCTTTCTCTCTCTCTCCCTCTCTCTCTCTCTCTCTAAGTTAATATAATTTGGGGTAAAGAAAACGATACAAGAGGAATTCTCTAATGCCTATTTAACTTAGAATCATAGAAACATTTTATTTTTATTTGAAATTTTCTTTTAACTCTGGTTTACTAAAAGATGAACAATAGTCATACCTGGTTATTGTTACAATAGTCAACATTTAAAATTTTCATACTTACTCTCTCATTGGCAGATAAGGGCCTCATTTACTGAACTATCTGCCTTTTTGAGATAGTACTATAAAACATTCCCCCATGCATATCCTGCTAGCACCTCAAACATGTCTAAAATCAAACTATTCTGAACATTTTGTAAAAAGTAGTTTCTCCACCCATATACTGTCCCTTTTTTTTGTCAATAATACTACAGGTTTCCCATGCACACTCTAAGTCATTTTAGACTTCTCCCTTTTCCTACAGTATCTCTACCAAGTACACTCACTCATTCATTCACAAAGCCTCTATGATTTGTATATCAGTGTCTCACTAACCTGTTGCTTCCTTTCTTCTCTCACTATCCACTTCGTTATTGCAGGTCAGTTCTGCCATATTAGCCTTCAAACTTGTTTCCCTCTCCTTTCCAAACCATCCAATAACCATAAAAATATCGGTATTCCTAAAATAGGACATTCTCCACATTACCTTCTGATTAAAACCCTTCACAGATTCCCTACTGGATACAGACTACACGGAACCAACTCTCTCTCTCTCTCTTTCTGTGTGTCTGTGTGTTCCTCTCGTGTTTTGCAAATCTCTGAAATTATGTCCTATTTTTCCTTTCCAGTTTTATCTTATCTATCTCTGTTCCCCAAATGTCCCTGGCACTATATTTTTGTTTATATTGTCAGTTCCATGGATATGCTCTTCCTTTCCTCTTCACTTATCAAAATACTATTCATCCATCACAATCCAGCTCAAATCCCTTTTTGAAACCTAGATTCATCTTCTATGTAAGTCTTCCCAACTACTTCAACCTAAAGTGATTTCTCTGTCTTCTGATACCTTATGGCATTTATTACCCATGACACATAGTTGATACTTATAAATTATCTTCTCTTCCCGGTTTTCTTTTAACTTTCATGTGTTTTTATCTTCCTAAATAAATAGTAAAATAATAAGGGCAGTTATTGTATCTTATTCACATAATGGGTCTAGAGTCAGACTGCCTGCAGTTTAGCCCTTGCACTGTTATTGACTGTAATCTTGGTCTCAGTTTTCTCATCCATAAAACAGAAATAGTGATAGGTATTCTCTTATAGGGGTTTTGTGAGCATTATATGAGATAACACATGCAAAATGCTTAGAATAGTATCTGGAACATGGTAAGCACTCATTAAATGTTAGCTATTATAACTATTACTCATCTTTTGTACCCTGATCTTTAACTATACTTATTCAATATTGAATGGAATTCAGCTGAGTCAATGGTGGGACACAAGAGGTAGGCTGTGTGGGCCCTGTATCATGGAGTGGGGGAATTTCTTGGCATCCTTAAAATAATGCCATAGATGCTATCACTTACTGTCATCAACCAGCCAGCCTCTTTCTAAGTCCCTGCTAAGTCCCTCAGAGATGTTAAGATTAAGGATCTCCAATTCTGCTCCAGAGATTTCTGAGGGTTTGGTCCAGTGTACAGGGTTTGCTTTTCCAGCCTCTACCTTTTCCGCCAGTAAAATCTCACCGGGGTGCAGAGAGCAGTTTACCAGTCTTCCAAAGGGTCTTCAAAGTGGTACTAAAAATGCCAACCAGAGAAGCCAGCCTACTTGACTGCAATTTTATGTAACGGGCTCCAAGACTGCCTACCACAGTGGAAAACAGGCTCAGTAAGACACTCTCCTTTCATCTCAAGGGAAGTCAGGATGCCCATGGGCACCTGGGCATCTCAGGATACTCTCAGCTGGGACCCCATCATCAATAGCTAAAGAACAACAGATGCTGGCCAAAGAGGTGGGGACATCTGTGCTGCTCAACTAAATCATAAAGGCATATTTTTGGTAGTGAAAATTAACCTGGAAAATATAAAGTTTGGGCCCCAATACGCATCATAAATATCACTACCAAGAAGTTGTCCAAGCCCATTAAACAGATGTATGCTTAAACCACACATATGCCCTAATGAAAACAATTCAGAGAGGCAAAAAATTCTATTAAAGGTGAAAAATGCAATCTAAGGCATGAACCGTAGTCCAGTGAAACAAATAGGTGCTTTGGATGCAACAGATCTGGATCCTTCACATTCAAGCTGTGTAATTGCAGGTAAATGTTAACCTCTATTTTCTGATGGATAAGAGGGGTTATAGGCCCGGCAGCGAGGTGGCTCATGCCTGTAATCCTGGCTCTCTGGGAGGCTGAGGCGGGCGGATTGCTTGAGGTCAGGAGTTCGAAACCAGCCTGAGCAAGAGTGAGACCCCCCCCCCCATCTCTACTATAAATAGAAAGAAATTAATTGGCCAACTAATATGTGTAGAAAAAATTAGCCGGGCATGGTGGCGCATGCCTGTAGTCCCAGCTACTCGGGAGGCTGAGGCAGAAGGATCATCGTTTGAGCCCAGGAGTTTGAGGTTGCTGTGAGCTAGGCTGATGCCATGGCACTCACTCTAGCCTGGGCAACAAAGTGAGACTCTGTCTCAAAAAAAAAGGAATTATAATACCCAGCTCACATGGCTTCGGTGACAATTAAAGGGGATAGTACATTTAAAGCAGGCTACCTGGTCCGTGGAACATGGTAGGGGCACTATCCATTAAGTGTCCTTCCCTCTCGCTCCAGAAGCAGACGCATCCTGCCCAACGGTGATCATTCCACAGGCAGGCGAATAAGGCTATTTGAACCTTTCCGAAATACTGACTTAGACTGTGCTGGGTGCTGTACAATTCGCAGAAGTAGAAAGGCTCTCTGCTCTCGGTGCTTTCCACCCCAGTGTGGAGGGCTGTTTCCTCACAATCTCCTGAAAGAGGTCTGGATTTATCCTGGGTTTAACCTTGATTTTGACACGATTGCCATTTACAACAAGGCCAGTTTCCTTGCTGAAAGAAGTCCTTCTGGGTGAAATCCCAACAGCTTCATTTGTTTAAATTCTCTTATTGGTCTTGCTAATGCAGGGTGTGGTTTTTCCTCCTTACGGAATATTGATAGTAAGTAAACAAGCACGGGAACTGTGCCCTGAGAAGGCGGCCCATCGATAACCTTGACTGCCCAGGCACCACCCGTGTTACTGCTGGATGGAGAAGGTGTTGCCGGGCCGAGGGCGCCCTTCTAGACAGGGCTGGGCAGCGGCGAGGGGAGGTCGGGACCCCAGGGTTGGGGAAGGGAAGGGAATGGGCGCGAGGGGAGGAGACGCGGGAACCTCGGGCAGCCTCAGCGGCTGGGTCGAGCCCGTCAGGTTCCAGCAGCTCCCCTCACCCCTCTCCACGCCTCCCGGGTTTTCCCCTTGGCTCGGGGTTTCCTGTTTCAGTTCTCGGCGATCTCCAGCAGCAGGTGCTGGTTTGCCAACCTCGGCTCCAGAGGCGGCGAAGGAGGAGAAGGAAAAGAGGGAAGGGGAGGAGGCAGCGGCGCGGCGGCGGCGGCGGCGGCTGCAGCGGCTGCGGCTGCGGCGGGCGGGCGAGGAGCGAGGCGGCAGGCGGCAGAGCCGGGTTCGCTCTCGCCCGCGGAGCAGCGGCGCGCCCGGCCGGGCGGGCGGGCGGCAGGCATGGGGGAGCCTCCCGCTCGCCCCGCGCCCTAGCAGCGGCGGCCGCGGCGGCCCAGGGCTGAGGCGAGAGACGGCCGCCTGCCGGAGGGCCCCGGGGCTGCCCCGGCGTCCAGGGCATGTTGTGATGGCTGCTGAGAAGAGAATGCAAGTAGGTTGAGCAACAGATCCGCGTGCGCGCGCGTGTGGGGTGAGAGTTGTGCAAGCCGGGGGAGGGGGCTCCGGGCCGCGGCCCGCGGGGAGGGCGCGCGGGCGGGCGCGGCTCGGCGCGGGGAGGGCCGAGGTGGCCGCTGTCGCCGCGGGCCCCGCCGCCCGCTCGCCCCCTCCTCGCGGGCTTGGCCATGCCGGGTAGCGGCCCCCAGGTTTGTCCTCGGGAAGTGGGTGGGGGGCGCCGACGGCGGCGACAGTGGTCTTGAGGGATCGGGGCGTGAGGGAGGGGGGCCGCGTCGAGCGCCAGGCTGAGGGGCCGGGGCCGGGCCGGGGCGGCCGCGCCGGGGGATCTCCAGGCCCAGGCGGGTCGGGCTCCGGAGGTCGAGTCGCCGAGCTCCGGCCACTCAGGTGGGGCCGAGCGGAGAGCCCAGCGCATCCTCCCCGCGGGGAGTTCGGGCGAGGTGAGGCCGGTCTCCCCGGCCCCGCGGCCTAGGGCACCGGTCCACTCCCGCCCGCCCGGGGGCACGGCCGCCGAACATGGAGGCGGGCTCGGGCGCCCGCGATGGAAACGGACCTACAGCTCTGCTCCTGCGACGCAGACCCTCGCGCGCTCGTGGGTAAGGCATCTTCGGACATCTCGGACACAGCCCCAGCCATTAGCTTTCATTATCCATCCACTACCCCCCAGGCCGGTCTTAACGAAAGCCCCTCACCCCTTCCTCGTCCCTCCTTCACCCCTCACCCTCAGGCTCCTTCCAGCCCAATTCCCTTTTACACGGTGCGTTCATTTTAGCTCAGCTAGTTCACATTTTTAACTCCCTACAAAGAGCAGTTACAGATACAACTTGGAGAAATAAATCCCACTTTTCTTTACTAAACTGTCTCATTTTCACCCCTTTAAAGTCCTTCAGAACAGCCTCAGCATCTAAGTACTGATTACTCTAACTGGGTTTCTTGCCATTTGGTTATCGGTTAACAATCCTGGTTTGTGCTCTGTGTTTTGTGATAAAGAGATGCAATACGAATCCAAATTAAGGGAAAGTTTTCCTATTGGTTGCAAGACTGTGCTGGAGTATCCCAGGTCCATCAGGCACTTATTGATTCAGATTTTTTTTTTAATCATCTTAGAATAGCTGCAGAAATACTTGTATATTTGGAAAGTATTGTATATTTGGAAATTTGTGAAAGTTCTGTTTTTCACCTATTTCCTCGTTGAGTTTTTCATTTTTTAATGCATGTTATAAACAGAAAGCAGGGGATATGCCATAAACACATTTTTTTTTTTACTTTCCAGGAACCACAAGCAGTTACCAATATAGTTTGTTATATATTTTGTCTTAATATATTTACGATTTTTAGAGGGTATGACCTCTGTTCATTTAATCACATACAGACACAATTAATTTTAGTAGCAACTTCTTAATTTTAGTGTTCTCTGGTGTTTGCATATATGATAGTTGCACCAAACATTTGTAAAGTTAATCTTACAGTGACAAGCCCAGGAATATGCCTATTTCAGATTTGCCCCTTTGTTCACCTGTTTTCTTCCAACTTAGCATGCTTATTTTGTTACTTATATCCATCTACTGTATGAAGGTACCATTAAAATATCAGAATAGTATACTGATATGTATCCATAACTCAAAGCATTTGAATATTTTTACTGGAAAGAATGGGTTTTGTTTTCAAAGTAAAAACTTACAATTCAACTGCTGGCATCTGGTCATCATAAAAGTACTGAGACATGACCAAAGTAAAATGAACTTTTAAATAAAACAATAACAAAGTGACCAGTATTATTTAACCTCTGTTTAATAATGAAAGTCTAATGGAACTATTTTAGTATAATGGGAAATATTAAAGGATAGGAAACAGACATTTGGAATGTTTTGGTGCTGATGGGAGTTTTTATTAGTCGCTTCCTTCTACTAAATTCAATTATCAGACTAATAAAAATATCCTATTTTATATTACAGGCTTCTCTGGATCTGTGTTTTCATGGGTTACATCTACAAAATTGGACCCCAAGTGGTTAATAGAAATTGTATCTTTAAACATTTTTCTTTTTCTACAACTGGGTTTCCTTGCCTTCATTCTAGCAGACCACCATGGTTTCTACATTAATTTTAATTACTCTAACAAATATAAAAGTGTTGTCATTTTATACCTTTTTAGTGTTTTTCATTGCTTTTTTACATAAACTCTGAAGAAGTCTTTCCTTCTGATTTGTTAGCATTTTTAAACAAACAAGATATTAAGCAGGGCATTTTTTTATCTTTTTAGTGTTGGAATGTACAATTATAAACTAATCTGCAGTTGTTGCTCATTTGAAACTTGTATACTTCTATTCCCTCAGCAAATGATTGTTTAGTATTAATCTAGGTGCTTTGTAAGGCCCCTGATCTCTAAAAGTATAGATTATGAACAGAGAACTTAATGCTAAGTGGAATGTACCAAGTGCAGTGAGCAGAGTAAGAACTTAAGGTACTTGGGGAAGGCCTCAAAAGTAGGATTTTTAAGTCAGTAGAGCTGGTTTGGAGTCATTTCCTAGTGAGTACAATGAATCAAGGAACTGTGGCAGGAAAGCAGGGAGTGGGTGGTCCAGTGTCTGGAGCATGCAGCAGATGATAGTAGTGGGTGATTAAGGTGGCAAGTACAGTTTTGGAGTATAGTTTTAATAGAAAAAGAAATCTTAAGTAAATAAGATGGTCAGTGAATGATAAAATTAATTAACATCAGGATTCCAAATTTAAACTTAAAATATTGAGATTATGGGGTTTGATCTCAAGTCTACCAAAAGTTCTAAAAAAGCTTTGTGTGTTTTAAGTGCTAATATGCCTCATGGGCCTGCAACATAAAAATTCTCATGTCTTTACAAAGTTAAAAAGTTAAGATTCACCAAAACATGTTATAATCATTACCACTATTTCACAGTTAACACTTCAGGAAAATGGTGAACAATTGAGAATGTGATTTTTTGAAAAATCTATTATCCCAGAATATATCTCTAATTTCTTGGTGATTCAAGATTTAAAAAAAAACAAAAACAACAACAGAAAAAAACTTTATAGAATTATTGTGCATATTAAATGGCTGGCACTGAGTAATTTTTGGCATCTGGTAACATAAAGGTAACTTTCAGATCTGTGATGTGGAGAGATCAATTGTCTACCATTGCTTTGGTTTTTATTGCTGACCTAATATAGCTATTTTGTTTAGACACTGATGTGCCAGACACCATGCAAAGTCCATTACAAGCATTATCTCATTTAACCCTTGAACACCTTTATGCATTGCTTCAATTATCCTCATTCTATAGATGTGGAAACTGAGACACAGAGAGTTAAGTAACTTGCCCAGAGTCACACAGCTAATAAGTTGCAGAAGGGAGTTAGTGCCCAGACAGCCCGACTTTACAACCCATGCGCTTAACCACTGAGCATTTCTGCCTTACTGTGATTCTATTTTTAGTTTGTTCTCTAAAAAGTATGTTATCATGTGTGGTGGTATGTTGACCCAACATTTTTTTTAGTCACCAGCTCAAGGGCTTTGACATATATCATTTGAAAATTGAGATGCTAGATAATTAGCATCATGGGTATGTACCCCACTAATAGTACCCCACTAATAAAACAACACAGAATTCCAGCCTGGCCAGATAAATTAAAGGCAAGGACAATGTCTTTTCACCAGATTGCTTAGGTCTAGTAAGGAGACAAAGCAAAAGACAGTTTTAGTCCAGCATGATAAATGATGTAACAGCAGTGTAGTTCATAAAAAGGAGAACTTTTCAGTGAAAAACCTCAAACGTTTTTATTGATTTTACAACTCTTTTCTCTGACTGTAGAAATATAATGTATTTATTATGGGAAAACTTAGAAAATATAAGGAAGTATAAAGAATTTTTAAAACACCTGTGTTCCTGTAACCCAGATATAACTAATTTAACATTATGGCAAATTTCTCTCTTGTTTAATTTTTCTTTGCATCATCAGAAGATTGTTTAACTTTCTTAAAGGGAAAATAGAGATTAATAGCCTCTAAAGTATAGTATGCATGGTTCTATATAACACTGACAGTCATTCTTATGCCCAGTGAACTTGTGTAAAGCAAAAGCTCATAAACAAATATGTGAACATTCAAAGTATTCTCCCTTTAAGATAACTGTCAAAT